CAACAAAAATAGAAGATATATAAGTTCCAATACAATACAAAACCTTTAAGGCTGACTCCGGGGGAGATGGAATAATACCTGAGAAAAAGGTGGCTTTATGTTCCAAAACACAAAACCACCTTTTTCCAAATTACATGCATACTGATACTGCTCCACAAAGATTACTGTCGTTTCTTTCGCTTACCTCAAGTCCCGTTTGCCAAACAATCCATTCTGCTTTGACCTGACTGTCGCATAGTTCGCGAAGACGTTCAGCATCACTATGAGAGTTCGCGAAGAATACACATTCAATTGCTCGCATCACATTCTCATCCCCAATGATCCTTAAAAGAACCTGGGGTTTTACTAACAGGTAGAAAGTAATATGTAGAAACCTGGTGATGAGACGACTCCAGAAGCCAGATGGGATGTAAGACATAGCATAAACTCTTCGCAACTGCTTCTCTGCGGTATAGTTGAAAGTAAATGTTGTTTCTGTAGCGTCGCCATTTAGCGGCTGCTGTGGAGATAAGGGTGGATGGTCAAGGGACCTTAAAGGGCTTTGATGAGATAATGATCACGATTATCACGTAAATCTTACCTCGGCCAGACTCCGGTTGTTCGAGCCAAAGGTTGATGAGTGACAGATTCTGGCGGCGATCGAATTACCCAGGAAACCACTTTCGCAGTTATCTGCAAGAAGAACTAGATCTGAACGACTTTAATTAGCGAAAAACTTACTCTGACGGAAGAAGCATGGTAATCAGCTCTAAGTCTGTACTCGTCGGGTAGAAGAGACGGAACCACTAAGCAGCGAGCGAGACATGGCAGAGCAAGTTCGCATTTTTGCAACAGATGAAGTAGAGCGGTTCGAAGAGGGACGGTCGAGTCAAGAGAGCGAAACTGCTTGAGCAATGGCGTAAGAGCATCTTGCGATAAGACGCCAGCAGCTTTATGTGGAGATCTAAAGCCATTAATACTTTCGCAAAATATGAAAAATCAATAAAATGTGAAAAACTATCTGCTATAGCTGCAAAAACTCGAAAGTTGCTCTAGATAGAGATGTCCTACCTCAACGCTACCACTGCAGCAAGGTAATCGGCCAGCCACAGAGGATCCACGAATATCAGCTGCCTCAAACTGGCATCCTCAAAGTGGACAATTTCACCGCTGTCATGGAGGAAGGTGCAAGCACCGCGAAACTCGATATCATCCCTACAAAAAAGCAAAATCATTCTAGAACTCGGCAGAAAGTTGTATATCAGAGTAGCATCGATAAGCACCTAAATGGTCTTCCAAATTTTTGGTTCATTCGCTGTTTCGTTCGCTCCCTGAAGGACTCGAGAGTCATGACAGCGGATGAGGCGTCGCGACGTAATTCACTGTGCATTTCACGAACGATCTATAATATTGATGTAGATGAGATCTTATACGTATCAGCTTCTCTAAACCAACCTTCAGCATAGCTATATAGGAAGATGGTATCTGCTGATCAAGCGCACGTTCCTTCCCTATCCTAACCTCCCAAGATGAATTGTAAATTACATTGAGGAGGTTCTAAACATATAACTTAATTCACGCATAATAAGGGTTTGACAAGGAAAATACCTTGATGTCGTTTCTTGATTTACCGTTGATGAATAGCAAGTCAAGGATCCTCGGCAGGCCATGTTTATCTCCGTCGTTGACCATAAATCGACTTCGTATCTACAAGCGATCAAAAATGCAAAAAAAGAAATAATGTAGGCGGGCCATAGAGTAAAATATAGAGGCTGATCCGATAAAATATTCCTCTACTTAGACAATCAAGGCTAATCCAAAAAACGTTCCTCTATATGGGCAATCACTCTAACAAAATCATCAAGGCTGATCTTGGCCTTAACAGGATTTCTACGAGAGTATCCTACCTTCTTTTCAACACCATTCAAGAAATTCTTTGAAAATTTTGATGGATTCGAGGAAATCTGATCAACATGCGTTCCGATCAAAATCACACAGGAGTTCGGAGCTCGAGCCTAAAGTGATTTCATGAAGCACAACCCTACATTATGACTAGTAAAAAAGCATGCGTATGATACAAAAAATGTACAAGTCGCACTAAACCTGTATATTAATAAGCCAGCGTTGAACGTCGTGAAGTGCTACTTCTCCATCAGTCACCCTCCATACGACAATATACAGAGTTCGTCGGGTAAGGAAGTAGTGGTGAGTTGCGTGATATTCCCTCTACAAACCAGCGATCATATTAATTGATATCAAAAGCATCAGAAACACGGCAGCAGTTCTACCTGTCCAGTGAAGTCCCAGGATGAGAACGCCACAGGACCTAAAGGTGTTTCTCCCTTAACCTTCTTCGTTTCAAACTTCCACTCAGCGATTTGGACGCTTTCAGCCTGAAAATTCTATAATTTTGCGGGATTACCTGGACGTAATCCTTTTGATCTTGTTTTATTCTTGGAGATAGTTAGCTGTTATATCCTACTGATATAACAGCTAACTATCTCCAAGAATAAAACATAATTGAAAGTTGTTTAATGTTTCATAATAGTGAGATGAGAGAGAAGGTCGTATGGACATTTCGAACACCAACTGATATCATCACCAAAGATATGTTGGAAGTGCATAAACTGGTATATGGTAAACTTGAGAACACAAACAAGAACAAAGCTAACAACTTGACTACCTGCAATGGCGACTTCTTCTGGATGGCTTCAGAACGCAATCCTTCCCAAAGCTGAGTTTTACCAACACCATCACTTCCCAGAATAAGCAATCGTAAATGATGGTAAGTTTTAGACCTAAACTATAGGTGTAGAACCAAGAATGAAGGATTTTGGCATGGATGAGAAGAATCGCGTATAAACTCACTCTTCCAGAATGGTTTTCAAGTGAGCGACAATCTCAACAGTTTTGCAGTTTTCAGTATTGACCATGGAGTCCAGCGGCTCTTTGAGCTGACAGCCTTTTAACGACAGCGACCATAGCCTATACGAAATTATGGATCAGTGATATCAGTGATAAATTTTCCGCTCAGTAGTTAAGAATACGCACCTCGAAAGTGTACCCAACTCCGGTGGAAGAGTTTGAATTCCTTTATTTCCACTCAGGTTCAAAACCGACAACCCAGGAATTCGCGAGAGATCGGCAGTCACCGTCTTCAAAGAGTTTGTACTTACGTCCAAGACGTTGAGTTGTTGGTATAGTACCTGCAAAAGTAAAATGAGAAGGTGTAGGTGATGCCGACAGGTGTATAAAAAATGAAAGGGCAAGATCTAGTACAGTGTTGTACGAAGTACATTTTGAAAGAGGCAGTCACTCCCACCTTGCCCTTGATGCATACGGGAATCGATTCAAGTTGATTTCCACTGATATTCAACGTTTTCAGCCATTCTAACGAATCATGTCGTTTATGCTGACAGGCTTCTTCGAAGTTTATTTCTACTGGCTGGTTGCGCGACACGGAGAGGGACCGCTGCGATCGAACCGCAGACTTTGACCTGCTTCCTATAACACAGATGAAGCGAGTAGTACACCAATGAAGGCAACAAAACCACTTACGATTTTGTCGCACAGGGCTGTTAGGACGACGAACGCCCAGAGGGGTTGGAGTGGTGGGAGGCACTGCGTGGCAAACGGTATGGAACACAGTGGGTAATTGGAATCCCTCCTAAAAAAATCTTTCACAGGCTGAAGAGGCTCCTATGGGTCATAAGATTAATAACAAGAAACTTCAAAACTCACACGGATGAGATTTCCAGAAAAATCAAGTGTTCTAACATGCGCTGGAATACACTGTATAGGCGGCAAAGCAACTAGCTGATTGAAGCTCATGTTTAAGGTGAGCAAACGAGGGCATGTACATGCAAGGCAGAAGGGGAACACTTGGAACTGTAACAAAGGATTGAGAACGAGAAAATGTATAAAATGATCTCAAACCGACCCTATTGGCTGAAAGGTTTAATGTTGTGAGCGTGCTAGAGGAAGTAACCGGAAAATCAGGGAAAAGGTCTTCATCATCGACCTGAAATAGTTCTTGTTGTAATCCCCTTGTTCCTGTTAAGATGAAAGTTAGATTTCTTGATAAATCTCGGAAAATAAGAGCCGGTATAGCAAATTACGGATGCTTTTTAGCAAAAGTGGCTGTGCAAAGCGCATAATTACACTGCTAACTTCGATATAGCAAAAATATTTTCTGTAAGACTCACGATACCTTCGATAAGTTTATTCCTGATTGCCAGATATTCTGACGGATTAGCGGTTTTGTGATTACGTTAGTAGGCTCTTCTACGCCATCGTTGATTGCAACTACAATTAGCAGATTCTGAGTAAGAGGTGCAAGCTAGGATAACCATTTGCACTTACCAGCATCTGGGCCTGCTGTCGGACTAGTAGGAGTAGCAGGTTGTGCGCTGCGAGAAGCTCGACCGAGTCTCGGCATATTTCCAACCATGGGTAAAGAATTGAGATGATTCGATGCAACATTGAGTTCCTTCAACGAAGGACACAACCAAATGTATTCCGGCAGTTGACTGAGACAGTTACGGGAAACGTCCAAAGTGGTTAACTGAGGCAATGAAGATAAAAACTGGAAGAGACAAAAAATGAGAGAAGAAAACAAACTAGCACTCTAAGCCAATGTTTCACCTGCGGAGAAATAGTCTCCAGACGGTTTTGTTTCAGGTTGAGAACTTCTAGCGATGTGGAGGTAACATAAAAACCCGGCATATCTATAGTAGTAATGAGATTCTCAGCAAGATTTAGAGATCTAAATGAACAATAAACCAGTTCAGAAGAAAAAAGCAAGTGTGTAAACGGACTGACCTTAGAGAAGGCATTTGGAATAATACAGAAGGGAATGTAGTTAGTCGATTACATGAAAGATCTACCCGTGTTATAGCTGCGAGAGACAACCTCAAAATAAAGAAAAAATACTACAAGCACAAGAAATGACTAACAACCCACCTCGTAGTACGAAGTCTAGGATTAACTTGCAATGCTGCAGCAACAAACCAATCCGACTGAACTGCTTCTAGCGAAGCTGAACCCCAGCAGAGAGATGCAGCTCGCGATGGACAGAGTGAGGAAGGAAGCAGATTTTGACCAACTTGGATCTTGAAATAAACATTTTATTTGGAAGTGTTGGAACGTCTGTAAGCTTTACTCATAAAATACGATACACAAGGAGTAAGATATTAACGAACCTGTCCAACATCAACATTCTTCTTGTTGACTTTATACTCTGGATCGGGAAAAACTAATCGCGTCAAGAATACCCGTATGAGCTTCAGATTCTTATTCTAAAATAACATTCAGTAAGTACTCATCGGCACTGCAAAGAATATAATAAGCAACAGCAAAGTATAGTTTTTACCTTCGCAGCGAGGCGTAATGCCCGATTGTCGGTATCGAGAGCTCCTCTGTCATACAAGAAGTGCACAATATGAACAGCGTCAGATCGCGTAGCTTCCACTAGCGCACCGGATCCTTAAATTTTGAACAATGAACAGAAAAAACAATTGCATGAATGAGACAGCAACGGATAACAATGCAGGCACCAACTTGCTGGTAGGCACTTACCAACACATCGAGCCTCCTCACACGTTTCCGAATCGAGAACACCCAAAGGCAAATTCACATCTGCGCCCGCATCAAGTAGTAGTCTGGAAAAGGAAAAGGCTCCGGCATGACATTAGTATAATGAATAGTACCAGAATGATTTGAGAAAGGCAAAAAAGAACACATGAGAAAAAAAGAAAAATAATAAAATTCTCGCTTTACATTCGGTTATACTAAATTTCACTACTATATAGGGAAACAAAGATGAAGCTACGCATAAGCGAAAGCTCGTTACAATGATAAAGATGATAAGGTTACAATGACACATTTCGCAACTACAAAGGCTGGATAAAGAGCCTCCAACAAAAAAGTTACACTTACGTAAGCACAGGCAGCGACTGGTTATATGCAGCGACCATCAAAGGAGTTCTTCCTCGACTACAGTAAACATCAAGTTGAAAGGGGCACCTTGCTATTCCATCGGTGAAAGGACATCGAAACTGTAGCAAGAACTTCAAAAACAAGGAAAAGATAGGGGTACGACAGACTAACCGACAGCATATACTGCAGTACTTCAGTGTGACCTTTAGCAGTTGCTCGGTACAAGGCTGTTCGACACTCATTGTCCCCACGATTCACATCTATTGCTAACCGATATGGCGGATGCGCTAGCAAGTCAACTTCCTTCACGTACTCTTCCGGATAAGGGAATTCAAGCAAACTGAAAAAGAAGTTGAACGATTAAAAACACAGTGTGCATAGAAACACAACTTTTTTTTGTGAGAATTGCTGGACTACGATTGCGCTCGATATTAAATAACTTCAATATCGTTGCACTAAATTGAATCGTTATCAGAAAAGGAACATTTTCTCGCTACAAGTCTTCACAATCTCTTAACTTCACCTTTTCAAGAAAACTCGTCTTTTCAAGTGTAATCATTGAAAGGTCAATTCACGGTAGTAGGCGGTACGACAAAGAACTAATAGAAGAAAAGACGAAGGTTAAACGAATGTGGAAGAACACTGACGACTGCTGTACTGTTTGTCGCAAGCAATGAAGATTTTTGCGCTTCTTCTATCCCCTATCCCGGCATCTTAAACATTCTCTATTATGTTTAAAAAGCCGTGATCTAATATGATGAGCAGTCAGCATGTATTGTTTCAAGTGATCCATGGTATTTTTTAGTTCATTCCTTAGTGTATTTCAGGCTTCCTTATTGTAGATACAAAACAAAGAATTCTCCATTGCAAGTGTAGTCAGCTTCATACAAGTCTAAGATGCGCCAACCGTCCACATTTGTAAGATGCGGTGCTACAGTGGGAACAACTAAGTCCCCGCATCTTCCGTATGGAGTTAGGCATGTGTAAATAGCGAGAGTGAAATGAAACAGTAGCTTCATACAATTTCAAATTATAATAAACACCCATAATCTATGGCTAACTGTTATAATCTGCGCAAACAAGAGTATGCTACTTATACCCAGACCAGAGAGCAAGAGCGTCCTTCTTTCAAGCTTGTGATCCAGAAAGTTGCTTTTTGGACAAAGAGGTTGTCAAATAAGCGGCCTGTTGCAGCCATGCCTCTGCGCATGTGAATGACAGCTGAGTACTTCACATTCACCCTTAGTCTCCCACGTCCAAAGAAGTGACTTCGAATTCCTCATATTCGCAAAAAAAGAAGACTGCGGCAACTTATACTTTTTTACAAGCATGTGACAGTTTCAAATACCATCCCCTGGAGGATTTAGAATGACAGACTCGAGAGAGTTGTATATATCACTGAGTCAACCGGAAATACTGCCTCTGATGCTGTAAAACAACAGCTTGGACCCACGGATAAGAGGGCAGCCAGTTATGATATAATTAGAAAAGGCTAATTACTAAAAAAAGAACCGTGAGACAGGCGACTCAGGCTACTTGCTCAAAAGTACAAATTCAACTCAGAGAGTTGACTTGAGATACATGTTACATCTACAATCTTCAAAAAGGAAAAGAAAATGAAGATAGTTTAAACATGAACTAAAGCAACAGTACAGAAACGCACCATTTTACAATCTCAGTGGAGCCACTCTCCGCTGCCCAATGGAGACAAGTACATCCATCACAGTTTGTGTTGGCGATCAAATCTGGATAGGCCTGAAGCGAATAGTGATTAGGAAATAGCATCCTTAGTTGTGAAAGAACCTAAAGCCTAAAGAACCTACCCCAAGAACGATACGCAAAACGTCGACACTTTGTGAGGAAACGGCTGCATGAAGCACAGTATCCTTGTTGATAGGATTTATCAGCACGTGTTCATTCTCAGGAGGAAGAAGGCGGCTAACTACCTCGGCCTGACCATTGGTGCACGCACTAAATATTTTGATGTATAGCTACGATATGCTACGAACACTCTGCACTTTCTGAGTCGATAGTTAGCTAAACTCACATGAACATTGCAGTATCGTCCTCGGGAGAACGTCCATTGAGTAAAACATGGCGATCTTTCAATGAAAAATCAGCCAAAATTTTATCTACAGCCGCCACATCACCTTCCGCACAGGCAATCATCAGCTGAGTATGTGCCTCATTAAGCTTGTCGTTTTCAATCTCTATAAATAAAGCAAAGTTT